AAAGATGCACCATATCTCCAACCTACTCTCAAATTATTTAGAAAATTAAGGGGGAAAATGTCCATATTCTCTAGGGAATATACAATACACTTTTAGATTTTGTATATAGAGAAATATAAAGCAAAGGTTAACCATGGGCGGACCAGCTCAAGGGTCAGCAATTTTTTTCTGAGAAGAGGCAGAGTAAATAATTTCAGCTTTGAGGGCCAGACAGTATCTGTCAAAACTCTGCCCCCAGAGGAAAAGCTGCCAGAGACCATATGCAAATGGATGTGGCTGTGTGCCAATAAAACTTTATTTACAAAAACAGCAGCAAGCTGATGGTTTGCTGAACCCTAACCTAGATGCAGGGTAGATGGGACTTCATTGCAATAGTTCTGCAACTTCTGTAGGTGGAATGTATTTTCAAAATAAAAAGATAAGTGAAGAAAATATGGATTTCCCAACTTTGTGGTCAGAGTGTGGTCTCTAAATATGTCCCATTAAAAGGAATCAGGGCTCCTTGGAGAAATGGCCAAATGCAGAGCTGGGGCTGTGAGAGTATAGGACAAGACAAAAGCATCTCGCTGTGCCAGAACTATGACCTCTGAGGCCACAGGGGTCATGTCCACAGGACCGAGGAGCCAACTCAAAGAGGTCCCACTGGCCACCAGCCTAGGGATGCCTGGGGCTCGCAGAAGCTGGGAGAGGCAGGAGGGAGTGTGGCCCTGCTGCTGCCTTGATCTCACCCTTCCATCCTCCAACATTGGGAGAATGCATTTCCGTTGTTTTAAGCCACCCAGGCTGTGGTACTTTGCTACGGCAATCCTAGGAAAAATATCCGACCAGCATCCTCAACACTGTCAAGGACACCAAAAACGGGAACAGTCAGAGAAACCATCACAGCCCAAAAGGGGCTTAAGATGTGACCACTAAAAGCCATGTGGGCTCCTGGGAGTACAAAAGGATATTAGGGGGAAAACTGAAGAAATCTGAATAGAGTATAAGTTTTAGTTAATAATGTGTCAGTATTAGTTTATTGATTGTAAAAAACAGTACCATATTAATGTAAGATGCTAACAGTAGGGGTATGTGGCTGCAATTTTATAAGGCAACTCTCTGCACTACCCTCACATTTTTTCTGTAAATTTAAGACTATTCTAAAACATAAGGTTTTTTTTTAAGTAAAAAAAAAAGGGGGGGGGGGGGTTGAATGAATAGAATCTTGGCTGTGTGACCTCCCAAGTGCATGACTTCAGTCAAATTTTTCAGTTTGTGCCTCAGTTTTCTCATCTGTAAAATGGGAATGACAGGGCTTGTGCTACATGGGACATCCCTGAGGATGGTGGGTCACCATGATCTGGCGTAAGTAGAGCCATTATCTTCATCTTCATCAGAGATGGGGGGGAGCTGCTGCTAGAATTTGGGGTAAATAGCAACATAGGGCGGGCTTAAATGCGCCCCCTCCAGGCAGAGAGGCTGGACTCTACCTCTTGGCTCAGAGTGTGGCTTTCCTGGACAGCTCTATACACCGTGCCCAGCACAGGGGGGTGAACAAGTATAACCTTTTTTCCTTCCTTCCCCATGTTTCTACCCTTCGTGGGACAGGAGACCTGAGAAGGGACCGCGGGGGGTGGGGAGGGGGTAAACAGGGCACCCCTGAGAAATCACAGGTCTACAGAATGTCATTTCTTTAATGTCCAACTCACAAGGGGCCCTGCAGATGAGGGAATAAATAACGGTTGTAAGATGCAGCGCACTCAGCCCCCAGCCTGGGGAAGAGGGGGGATACCTGTGAGCCTCAGTTTCCCTCGTCTGCAAACCGTAACAGAACACACCTGGAGTCACGAGGCTCTTAACACCGTTTTCCAGGGGTCTCTTCCCCACCGAGGGCGGCCTCTGAGCTACCCAAACCTCAAACTGGGAGATACCACCTCCTGTCCACTAAGGGGCGCCAGAGTCCGGTTCCTGGGCCTGTGGGACCACTGCCCGATCCCTGAGGGGGTATACCACCCCCCGGGGGTCCCCGACCTCTTCCCAGGAGGGGACAGACCCGGAGCGGGGGTCCTAAGTCTTCCGTCCTCTGCTCTCTTCATCGTCCCCTCCACCCCGGGGACCCCAGGTGGCCATGGTGCTCCTTTTTCGAGGAGTCAAGAGTGGGGACCCCAGGAGCTGTCCTAGCAAAGGATAGAGAAGCGGCGGCGACTGGCTTTCCGCAACTCACTCGTGGCCCCCGCACCACGTGGGCCTGGAGCGACCGGGGCGGCATCTGGGCTCCCGGAGCGCCGCCCGCGCCGCCCGCAGGTC